AAAAGACATTGTTTGTTATATTTATAAGGTTCTACCAATCCTAAATAGCTGGGAAAATTTTTAAATAAGCACAAAGCAGAAGCTTGGGACTGAAACTGGTGGGGTACAGCCCCCATTGGCCACCCCAACTTGTGGCGCCTCTGGTGATTGACAGGTGAAGTTGCACAGAGGAATGATGAGCTGGAGCTACAGCACTGCATCTCTGAGAGACAAACACAGAGATATAATTTAAGTGGCTCTAGCAGGGACAAGACTTTTCAAATATGTGTCTACTGAGTTATTAGTAAGCACTATAGAGCTGATTTGGTGTCATAGGCTGAGCTTTATGGGACGTTTTCTGAAGTAAGCCACTCAGTCCCATTAGAAGAACAGTAGCACTCTGTAGCATTTAGATAGAATAGAAATAGCCTTTATTGTCCCGCATGGGGAAATTCAGGTGTAGTAGCAGCAGCAGGTACATACATCAATCCACAAAACAGTGTGTTCCTATGTGACAATATCAATTGTAGCAAAAATAATAGAATTAAAGATAGCAACAACAAAAAATAAACACAACAAAAACAGAATAAGAATAATAACTACCGTACCGGACCATCAATGAGAAATTAGATAAAAATGAAAGTAAAAAAAGCAGCTACTGTGCAGAAAGATACATAATTACAGGAAATTACAGTCTTGACAGACTTGTGTGAAATGAGTCTAACTCAGTGTGTGTAAACTGAGTTGAACTCCGGGGGGTGCAAATTGTTTCCGACTCAGTCATTAAGTCCAGTACAGGAAAAGACAATGAACAATTGTTATTACTGGTTATTATTTGTGCAATGATTGAGAGGTAGTTATTTGATGTTCAAACACAAACATGGATGCTTATGATTGAGTCTAACTGCTGATGGGAGGAATGATCTGCAGTAACGTTCTTTTGTGCATTTAGGATGCAGCAGTCTGTCACTGAAGGAGCTCTGCAGTTCAGCTACACTTCCATGTATTGGGTGGGAGACYTTGTCTGTCATTGATGTTATTTTAGTCAGAGTTCTTCTGTCTCCGACCACCTGCACTGGGTCAAGGGGACATCCCAGCACAGAGCTTCTTGATGAGCTTATTCAGCTGCTTCCTCTCAGCTGCAGATAAGCTGCTGCTCTAACAGACGATACCATAAAAAATGGCTGAAGCCACAACTGTGTCAAAGAATGTCTTCAGGAGCACCCCCTGCACTCCAGAAGACCTCAGCCTCCTCAGCAGGTAGAGTCTGCTCTGACCCTTCCTGTAAAGAGCGTCAGTGTTGTGAGTCCAGTCCAGTTTATTGTTCAGGTGAACACCCAGGTACTTATAAGTCCACTATCTTGATGTCCACTCCCTGGATGTTCACCAGTGTCAGTGAGGTGGGACTGTATCTGTGGAAGTCCACCACCTGCTCCTTGGTTTTAGCAGCATTGATCAGGAGGTGGTTCTGCTGGCACCAGTCCACAAATTCCTGAGTGCAATGTCTGTACTCTGAGTCCTCTGTCTGTACTCTGAATCCACTGTCTGTACTCTGAGTCCACTGTCTGTACTCTGAGTCCACTGTCTGTACTCTGAGTCCACTGTCTGTACTCTGAGTCCANAGGTGAGTCAGAGCTTGGTGCTGGAGGCAGATGATGACGTCATCCACCCCGATGCCAGGCTGCAAACTGCAGCGGATCCTATGAAGACCTCACCAAGGGGCGTAGATGGATGAGGACCAGCATCTCCAGGGTCATCATCAGATGAGATGTCGGGGCTACTGGCCTGTAGCTGCTGGGGTTCACTGGGTGTTTGGTCTTTGGTACCGGTACCACACAGGA